TGTGGTACGTAATTTTGTATTATTTATTTTTGGCAAAGAATATTATTTAAGAAAGCTTAACGTTCGAATATTTCTTTTGTCGTGCTTCTTTCGATTTGAAATTGAAACAAAAAAATGCAAAATTGACACGCGGGTAAGAGAGCTTTTCCGACCAATGTGTGATAATTTATTTATTTTTTTTTGATTCTTAGAGAATCTAAAAAAAAAAGAAAAGAGTAAAGTGTTTTTTATGTTTATATTTCGCTTATATTTGATAAAGCTACATAGCTTTTTTAAATGTTGACAAATCCATTTGTTTTCAGCAATTGCACAGATTCGATAGGCGACTGCCACTGTCAAAGATTATTTCAATATACATAAATATGTACGTATTTAACGGGTTTTTCATCAGTAATACTATTGATATTACTATCGATAATGATATCGACAGAAATATCGTTAATAATATGGATAATAATATCGATAACAATATCGCCAACATTATCAAAAATAATATCGACAGTATCAATAACAATATCGATAGTAATACCCATAACTAAGGATGGCAAAAAAAAAAAATCGATTAATTAATCATATGATTAATCACAAGCCAAAGGAATTAATTGCAATAATTGAAAAATAATTGATTAATCGCATTTTTAAATGCACTTTTTTATAGTATATACCAAAACAATTTTCCATAAAAACATTTTCAAATTTTCTTGTTAATTAGCTTTAAATGAAATAAAACGAGTATTTTTAGCGGAGATAATTATTTATTTTTACCCAAGTTTGCAAAAACTGAGGTACCAACTAAATTACAGAATTTTTTTGAAAGTCCGTTAAGTTTTGGGTAAAAAGTTTTCATTTCCTCCTAAGCGCGATGATATTCCACTTTAGTCCCTGGACTTGACAACTTAAATAAAAACTAATTTCTTTTTGTGGGTGACCCAAGTCATCATCTTTTTGCCTTCGTTTGTGTGCAAGAGATTTATGAGGGGACCACAGATCGATGGATGGATTTTACCCAGCTACAAAATTCATATTGAAAATATTTTTACGATTATTTAGTAATTAATCGATTAGTGAAACACAAAACTACGATACAATTAAATCGTAAATTGTAAAAAATTAATCGATTAATTTAATCAAATGATTAATCGCTGCCATCCCTACCCATAACAATAAAGATAATAAAATCGTTAATATCATCAGTAGTAATATCGAACACAATATCGATAATATCTTATATCGATCAAAAATATTTAAAAATAAATATGTCGACTGTGGTAGCCGAGTCATAGAATTACTCTCACAAAATCAAACTGTATGCATAAATACGTATTATGTATGTGTATATGTACTTACATATCAGAATGCAGTTTTCATTTTATTTTGCCGCAAAATTTTGTTGTATGACGCAACCAAGTATGACTGAGGGTGTGTGTATATTTAACTCGAGATGCATTATTCGTTGGGTTCTTTTCTTGTTCGGGACGATTGCGATGCCGGCGAATGGACACGAGTGAACACATATGCACATATGCAAATACCCCGCAGAGAAACCGCGCACTAGTGAGTCAAATTTCTAGTTCCGTACTAGATCTTTATCGCCAAAAACCAACCAGTCCGATAGTAACTAGATCCCCGCCAGCTCAAAATCAGCGAAATGTGGTAGTTTATTTAATTTTTTTCATTAGAAATCTATATCTAAGGTGACGAATTTGAATCTGGTCCGGAACTATAGAAAAAGGGTCGCAGAACGAACTAGATCTTATCTGTCGAACTTAGAACTAGTTTCGAACTAGTAGAAAAGGGGATGCAGCGGAGAGCTTGTTTACTTTACACAGATATGTGTTTGGTGGCGATTTCGTTCGAATACGCTACCATTCTGCACTTCCCAGATGCTTTTTCATAACTTGGTAATACAAAACAAAAATTTGTGTTAACATTTTAACATCTTGGGACCATCTGGAATCTAACCAATATCAGCGAGCAACTCTGCAACTCAGCTCATGCTACTTTTTTTCTTTCGTATCTCGATTTTAGATCTTAGTGATTTTGGTGATGCTCAGAGAGAGCTTTTACTCTGTGCGCATCCATATAAAATGTACAGAGAGCTTTGAAGAGTTCCGCCCGCGGGCGCTGTTTTGAGCATCGTTGGTCCAAATGTACTAGAAGCGCACCAGTTCAGAACTAGGGATTTTCCTCACAGGGTACATAGCGATAGAGTGAAAATTTTTATCGTGTGCTACTATAGTTTTAGCCGCAGTGCGCTTGCATACTTACTTCTCCGTACATATAGTAAGAAATATGTCAGCATATTTATGCTGTGCACCGGTATCTGGAGAAATCGATTCAACTGTGAACAGTTTGCCAGTGTTCGATGAATTTTCTTAAAATAAGAAATTTAAATTTGAACCTACAATTACGTAGGATATTAGAGCTACTAATACACATCGTCGGTGCATATGAAGAAATACGAGCGATTGTTTTAACGGTGAAAAAGGACGCGTAAAACAAAGAAGACAAAGAAAGACGCTGACGGTTTTTTGTCGGCGTCGTCTTTTGTCGCGACTTTCTTCCCGATCGAACTTTTGAGTTCGTATCTTTCTTCGCATGTACAGGCGATATGTATGTACATATGTATATGTGATAAATATATTTATTTAGTACGTACAATAAATGCTTAACATTTCTATTAGATTTTCGACGAACAAAATATGCATCAAAACGACTTGGCCACCAAGCCCTTGATTGGCATACTATGTATGGATCGAAAGAATACAATGAGGGAGGACATTTGTAGTTATATCGATAATTCTTACGTAGAGTATTTGGAGGCTGGAGGCGCTCAAGTTGCTCCCATTTGGTAAGTATACTAAGTACTTATGCATTACACTGTGTGACAAAAACCAAAAAAAAAAAAAATGCTCTCTGAAGTCGGCGCTTTTTAAAAGGACTTTCAAAGTACAAAAAAAATGTATGTTAGTCGTTATCACGAAAATTTTTCAAAAAATAAATATTGCAAATTTTCAAGGATATTTAATATAACGATTTTAAAATGACTTATTTAATACCCATTTGTACTTATCCAACAAAAAAATTAGACCTTTTTAATTCTACAAAATTTTCTCTTTTATTTGAAATCCATATTGTTATTCTACATTGTTCTTAGTTTTTAAAATAATTTTTTTTTGAGTTAATCACATCTTTAAAGTTTCAAAGTCCTTTTTGAGGTAGAGAAAAACTAAAAGCCTTGATTTTTACTATTACTATTTTTGGCCCCTAGTTTCGCAAATATTTTTTGTGTGTAAAACTGATTGTCACACGGTGTTATGAATTATGAAATTTGTTTTAATGGCTTCGTTTACCAAGGATCAACAAAGGCCCAGAGTATTATAATTATATGCTGAACAGGATAAATGGGTAAGTTGCAAATTAATAAATAGTTAAATAAAATCTGTAGTTACAAGCCATAACACAGCTTAAGTCGCATTTGGCTTCAGTATAATGCAACATATATGATCGTCTGAACCGAAGATCACAGTGGTGGCCAAAACACCTGAAAAAAAAAACATCATCGAAAAGCTCATCCACTGAGTTTTCTAATAGATACGAGTTCCCTTGAGGTGGCAGTGGCAGAACTGTGTAGAGATTCTTGCAGGAGACTTCGGTTTGTGCCTCTCTCTACGTACATTTGGCTTCGAACGAAGTTGTCATCCAGTCCGAGACGTGTGGCAATAGAACACACAGCAAATCAGGGTGAGGTGGGCAACATCCTCCCTGGTGGCAGATACAAAGCGAACCGCATTTCCTCTGTTATATGTGTGCTAAGTGTTTGGCCGAGCTTCTCCTCCAATTTTGTGGTGTGCGTTTTAATGTTGTAACACAAATAGAGGGACCTGCAATTTTACGACGATTCCGAACGGCGATTGTATTTTTATGAGAAGTTTTTTTTCAAGGCAGAAATACCCTTTGAGGTTGGCCACTGCCTGCCGAGGGGCCCACCGCTGTTAGAAAAAACTTTTTTTGTAATTTGAATGCTACTTTTGTCAGAGATCGATCCCTGGTCCTACCGCGTGGTAGTACTCGCTATCCCATTAATAGTAGGATGTCGCGAATTCTCGCTCGGTAGCAATCACGATGTTGGTCTTTCTGAGCCCAGCCTCAGCCAAAACTTCCTTTAGCGACATTAGAGGTAGTTCCTCCTTGTTGTTTGGGACATTATAGGTCCGGCCGCAACTACTAGGCTAACTGTGGCAAATCTAAATTGCTGAATTTAGTTAAAATAAACTAAATAAACTAAATAAATAAAAAAATATGCTCTGAAGACTACTTTTTCGAAAATCAAAATAAGTTTCATAACCAGATATCCGGATGTTCTTATCGGTATTTGAATGGATTCGTAAATCCATCAAAATAAGTAAAAAGAAAAATGCATTCATGCACAAACAAATGTAATTTTTAAATTCGAAAATTCAGATATCCGATCAGATATATACAAAAATATGTTCTTTCGACGCACGTACAGCATTCTATTACCTGGTGGCGCAGTTTTTGTCAACGAACATGATCCTGCTCGCTTAGAATTGACTAACAATTGTGTTCGGGCCGTGGATATGATAATACGCATAGCAAAAGAAAAGTACAAGGAGGGTATTCATCTGCCTGTGTGGGGTACTTGTTTGGGATTTCAACTTTTGATACTCTATACCACCAGTCTGGCAACAACAACATATGGCACGGATCCACGTGAAAAATGCAAATATATGGAATGCCTTCTACCCGTGGACTTTCTGCCAGGTAATTTTCATGCAAAATATTTTGCTTATGTAATAGGGTGGTCCTTAAAACGAAGAAAATAAGAACACCCACGAAAATTAAAAAAAAAAAAAATTAGGTTTCGTTACCACAGCTCGAAACTTTTTTAATTCGCAAAAATTCGACAAAATGTGGTCTTGAAATCTGAAAAATTGAACATACTATTGAAAATTAATAAATTGTATAAATAAAATGTATACAAATTTATACATACACTTTGCTTATAGTTATGTGGTACATATTTCTAGGCTCCATATTTTGCGCAAATATCCGCAATTTTGTCTAATATTTACGAGTTAGGAAAAAATATTTTTTCAAAACCTGGTAGCGACCCTAATGTTTAAAAAAAATAATTAAAAAAATGCATGATCACACTGTAGACTTTCGGGATTCAAAACTTTTTGCTCATTTGCCACACGAATTGGAGACTATTATGCGGAATGAACCATTTGGTCATCATCGACATAAATATTGCTGGACCATTGAGGTACATTTAGATGGCTTAAATTTTTAGTTTCAGTTTAACTTTATTTCAGTCAAACTTGACATTAAATAGCTTCATTTCAATCACTTTTAGTTCACTGCACTTCTTGTTCACCCGGTTTGTTTAACCGAACTTCACTTAACTTTACTTCATTCTACATCCCTTCATTTAACTTTAATTAATTTCATTAAACTTCACTTAAAATCATTTCGCTTATCTTTACTTCAATTGACTTGACTTGACTTCCCTTCACTTCACTTCACTTCACTTTACTTCACTTCACTTCACTTCACTTCACTTCACTTCACTTCACTTCACTACACTTCACTTCATCTCATTTAACTTCATGTCTTTTCCCTTCATTTTACATTCGAGTCAACTGTACTTCAATTCACTTCACTTTTATTTCTTCATATTTTATTTCATTCTATTGATTGCATTTAATTTCATTTTATTGTTTTCATTTAATTCTATTATATTTTATTCCGTTTTATTTAATTTCATTAAAGCTCACTTTAAATCACATCGCCTATCTCAACTTCACTTCGTTTCGAATCTCTTAATTTAATTTCATTTCATATCTCATTTGATTAAACTTGGGATCCCTTCAGTCCTTTTAACTACATTTCATCTCATTTAATTTTATTGCATTTCATTTCACTTCACTTCTCTTGTCTTCGTATTCATATTTTATTTCATTTCATTTCACTTCACTTCACTTTTTATCCCATAATTTCATCTCATTTAATTGTATCTCATCTTGACTAATTTTATTCCATTTAATTTTCTAAACTTTTGTACTTAAGTTCGTTTAATTTTTTCACTTTTTCAGTTTTTTCATTTTCTATTCCATCGATTTCCACACATTTTTACTATAACGAGTTATTGGAATAAAACTCTTTTTTTATTCAAAAAAAAAAAAAAGTTATGTAAAAGTTTCGCAGATGACTGGCATGTATTGGCGCAAAACTCAGATGGCAATGGCACAGAATTCGCTTCGATTGTGGAACACCGCAAGTAAGTGGCTATATAGAGTTTATGAATATGTTGTTAGTTCTACTTTGTGATTAATTTTAAATCTTTTAAACTTCTATATTTATGCCTTACTAGGTACCCCTTTTTCGGGACACAATTTCATCCCGAATCGGACTGCCCCGAGCATTGTATTAAAGTGAGAGGATATTTAGCGAAGTTCTTTGTAGACGAGTGCCGTCGTTGCAGTAATCGATTTGAAAACGCCGAAGAGGAAAGACGACATTTAATACAAAATTTTCCTGTCGAATATGAAGAAAACAAAAATATACGGGCGTTTGGCGGATGCCCTGATTACCCTGAGTAAATGAAATTTACAAAATACTTATAGTAAAAAGAAATAAACAATTTGTGATAGTCGAAGACTGTTTATTATAATTTTCGAATTCACTGTGAAAACGTACTTCTGTGTATAATTTATGTTAATCTTAATGATAATAAAATTAACGAAATAACAATCGTCAATCGAGTATTTGTTCTTTTAAGGTGTTAAAAAAATTTGGTTGCGTTCAATGGAAACAACGCAATGTCACCTTGGGAAGGGAACGGTACAATGGCAACTTGCACTTTTAAACAAATTATATTACAAGTACGCTGTTTGAGAACTACATACCATACCATACCTACTGATGTGCACACGAATGAAATGAGTAACAAGCAGCTAAAGAGTATAACGTTGCATACCTGTAGGCAGACTATTTGCTACGACTGCAACCAGCCGAAAAATCATAATTGGGGCAAGTTTCTTCATTATTAGCTTTCAAAGAAGCCGAAAATGCTGTGCGTAAAAATACATACATAAAAATATTTGGGCGCCCGCTGTGATGCTAATAAAAATGTATGTATGTAAATGTTTGGTTTTGTTAACCGTCGCCAAGAAGTCTTACGTTTCAAACGACTATCCTTTTTTTTATTGCATTCATAAACGCTATTTCTATTTATATCCAAATTAGGCTTCTGAACTAACCTTTTTACCTTTCTTACACAAAAACACCTCCTTTTGCATTATTAATTACCACTTCATTCAAAATAAGTACTACACCACGATTATTCAAACGCATTTACATACATACACACATACATATGTACATATATTTGCTTAATACATACATATACCGTTCATCTAAATTAATTTCTAAAATATTTACACAACCACCCAAAGACATTTGACAGCAATCCCCACATAAAAAAGGAAACCAACAAAGTTTGTCTGCGCCATGCGATGTATGTATATATATATACACATATATATGTAATTAGGTGTGTAAGCGCTAGGAGAGGAGTAATGCGAGACAAATCACCACAAACGAAGATTTGAACAAAGACTACCGCCAGGAAAGGCAACCGGCCAGAATCAGGCAGGTCTAGGTAGGATAGGATGAAGGAGCTGTTAGAAAGTTTCTCCAAAAAGTTTCCACGATTAAGACGTCCGTCCACCCACTGTTGCTTTTAAAATATTTACAAATACACACTCGTATGTAAACATTTATGGCATGTGTTTTTGTGTGTGAAATTTTGTTAGCTGTTTACGCGTGTACTTTTCCTTCGTTCTGCATACATACCCTGCAAAGAAAAGCCAATTTAGTTAGTAAAAATACCAGTTTATTAACTGGTAGGAGCTAATGCGGTGGCCTACCATATCGACAATTTCGAACAACTTATGCTATCAGCGACATATGCTTTAGAATTATCAAAGCCAAAAATCCAAAATTTAAATGTAAACAACGAATTTGTGCATCTAAATTAATTTTCGAAAAATCAAAAAAATAAAATTAGGGAAAAACCCTAAATGCATTTTCCGTTTTTTTAATAATTAAATTTAAAAATACAAAAAAAAAGACAGATTTACATTAAAAAAGCTGCTGATGCATAGCCGGACAATTGTCACTTTTTATGACCTCGCCATGTTGAAAATATCAGTTGCCAGTATGGGAAACAGATGGTAGACGCACTACTGGCTGAGCTGAAAAGCTAAGTGGTACTATTCTTGTTCACACTTACTGGCATTCCCTGCAGGGTAGTCATATGCATACTTACATTAATAATGGTACCGCTTGGTTGTGTGGAAGCTCCGCTATGAAAAACATTTAACCAAACATTTACATTCTTTTCTATTATTTGAAAATTTTATGCCACACTTCTCCTTTACTATGTATGTATGTGTGTACATATGTATGTATGTATGTATATGCAATATTCACATTATGAACATAGCTGTTTGGGTGGAAATTGATTTTCAGCTAGACACAATATGGGGTTTCCCGCCAACTTTGCTGTATATTCTACATACATTAAGATGCCTAGCGCTCTATTTATGTATGCACTTATGTACAATAAAAAATAAGGTTACCTTTTTCAATCGAATTACATGAATTAGCCTACATATTTGGGACCGTTTTCTCTGGTAGCTTTTAAAATTTAACTGCCCTTGAATTAAAAATAAAAAAAACTCTTAATGACTTTCATTTCCAATCCGTCATTTAAAACCATCTATTTTCATACAAAAATATGGCTGCAAATTTTGTAACTCTCTTCGAAGGGATAACTGTTTTTTTTGGTGAGTCAGCTTAATGCACATAAATATGTGCATAAATATTTTTAGCATGCTTTAAAATAAATTTGAAGAGGATTAAAGTTATGCCATGCTTGGGTAAACTTTATATACATACATACATAAGTATTACGTGAATTGAATTTGTGGAATTTTAAAGTTTTTGTCAAATATGTGCTCATCGTGGGCGAAAAACTTTATTTTTAGATTTATTGAATTGGTTTGAATATCGGCATGTAACTACATACATATGTACTATTTATATATTAAAATAGTAATCATAACTAAAAATTGTGCTATAAATAAACATTTCTTTGTTTAGTAACTTTGAGCAAGTCGAATTATTTATCATTGTTATCCACTTATTCAATGCAATTAACCTTATGTGTCCAGAAGGATATTCAGATTTTATTTGAATGCACACCTTTCTACGTAGCTTTGATGTTTTAGTTTTACATAAAAGAATTAAACTCGTGTGGAAGCAATTTAAGAAAGCCATGATGCCATGAGACTTGTGTCTGGGACAATTATACCGCTAGCCTAATCAAATATAAAATGGTAAGGAAGGCGAAGGGGAAAAGCTTCAGCAGCTTTCGTAAGATTCTAACATCTACTTCTGTAGCGGTAAGACTTCTTAAACTCTAGCAAAGGTTAAGATAGAGACCCTCTCTTATCAAATTATAACTTGCCACACGCACGTTACCACACCAAACGATCCCTCATAAACTTCACCACAGAGAAAGTTGCGGAAAAGAGAAAACACTATCATAATGAACCCTCAGCGATCAGCTACACCTGACCCAACACCAATGGGATGTATAGAGTGAATCAAGGGTGATGCAGATCTTTGGGCGCAGTTATTAACGATATGTAAATGTTTATTTATTTATTTATTTTTTTCAGAAAAGTGCAAACTCAAAGCTCTCAAAGTTTTCCATTTATTTTATGTGGGGAAAAAACAATGTTTCGTAGAAATAGTACAGAGTTCTTGAAAATCAATATTTTTCGATCGGAAAACTTTGTTTCTCTTCAGGAGATTTCCAACACCAATACCCAATTGTTTATTTAACCATCTTCTAATATTAAAGATTTTTTATGGGTTTCCCCCATTGCATTTTTTTTGCGGTTTTTGGGGGACTTATACAAAATACTTACTATTAAAAAATGCTTTAATAAATGGGTATTATTATTGGCAGTCTCCTAAATAGAAACAGAGTTTCATGACAGAAATATTGATTTTCGAGAATTCCTACGAAACATTGCGTTTTCCCATAAAAACTACATGGAAAACTTTAAGCGCTTTGAACGACCTCTAAATATATGTTGATTTCAAATTTAGAAAAAAAAACAGTTTTTGGATATAAACAATTCTACGTGGTGAGAACATTAAAATTCCGACTTAACTTTTTTTGGATTTGACCACCCTAATGTATGTACATACTATGCTTTGTCAACGGTTTGCTAATTATCTTTACCAAATGAAGTATTCTTTTCTACTCGTATAGCAAACGAAGTGAAGAAATTGAGATGAAAATAAATTGTATTTAGTAGAATTTTGCAATTTAAGAAAAACAAATTATTGATAAATTATAAAAATAATAAATTATATTTGCTCTTAATTTTTGTCATAAAATACTGGGTATTATTTTTAAAAACACATGAATTTATTTCAGCTATCAAATGTTAAATACACCTCAAATATCCTCCTTGAAATATTATGCCAAACACTCATTTAAGAAACCTAATAAAAGGTGTGAAATTCTTTAGGTGATGCGCCTACACAGTGATGGCGCGCCTGGTGAAAGACCTTAGGCATTGCCATATGTGCAATTAACTACAAGCATGAGTATGTGTACGTACACTTACATACTTACCGACATATACATATGCATGTGCTTGTTCTGATCCCTATGCATGTGCTTGTGCGACGGGTCACACTATTAGGGATTCCATGCCATCACAAACACTTCACTGCACACACGGGGATAACAACTAAATAAATATTTAGGTGACAAACACTTGTGATACATAAGTCAATGAAATCGACAAATAAATCCATATAAGTATGTTGTAAATGTGTGGGAAAACTTATACAGCGACACAACACACATACATATGCTTAAATGAATGTAAGCACATACATATTTACCTACGTACGTAGAAATAAAATTGCCATGTCTGTTTGTGATTTTCGATTTATTACCATTTGAGGTTTTCCTTTCTTGTACTATGTATTTATACATCATAAAAGAAAATAGCAAAAATTTAGTCGTTCTTTGAACTTTTGTTTCTCAAATTTCGACCAGTTTGTTAGAGAGGTTTTTTGTTTTTAGCGATTTGCTCTAACGCCCGGTTAAGGCAAATGTTAACCTTAAACCATAGATATAAGATTGCAAATGTACATACATATGTAGTGTACATACATAAGAAAAATTTTATCAGCTGCTTTTGTTGATGAACAATTTTTAACCAATTTAAAACTATATCTTTCTTAACAAAAGTTTTTAGGCTTGCCACTCATTTTATAAAACAAAATAAATACCTAAATGTATAAATCTGAGGTATGTAGATTTTAAGGCTATTATTTTGCAAATATTTCAGTATACATTATTTGATTGCAAAAAACACCTTTTTTCGTTAGGATTGCCAAGTTGGTATTTTAATACAAAAAATAAAGTAATTTTTAGTTGTTAAGTGGGCATTTGGACACATTAGCATAGTGTGTAGATTGGTCTGTGAAAAGGTTAAAAATAGGGTTGCCATACAAATAATTGATTTTATTTAAATTTAAAATTCGTACGCTTAATATAGTATAGCACTATGATTAAAAAAAAAATAAGCGCTTAAAAGAAAAATTCGATTAGGGTTGCCAGTATGTAATTAAAATATGACCAAA